CCCAGGCTGGAGTGCAGTGGCGCGATCTCGGCTCACTGCAAGCTCCGCCTCCCGGGTTCACGCCATTCTCCTGCCTCAGCCTCCCGAGTAGCTGGGACTACAGGCGCCCGCCACCTCGCCCGGCTAATTTTCTTGTATTTTTAGTAGAGATGGGGTTTCACCGTGTTAGCCAGGATGGTCTCGATCTCCTGACCTCGTGATCCGCCCGTCTCGGCCTCCCAAAGTGCTGGGATTACAGGCTTGAGCCACCGCGCCCGGCCAATAAGATAATTAATTAAAATAAAGGTGCAATCTGTTCCCACCCCTCTTTTAAAATTTTCTTTTTTTTTTTTTTCTGAGATGGAGTTTTGCTCTTGTTGCCCAGGCTGGAGTACAGTGGTGCGATCTCGGTTCACTGCAACCTCTGCTTCCCGGATTCAAGTGATTCTCCTGACTCAGCCTCCCAAGTAGCTGGAATTACATCTTCTTCTTTTTTCTTTTTTTTTTTAATTATAGGTATGGGGTCAGACTGGGCGCGGTGGCTCACGCCTGTAATCCCACCAGCACTTTGGGAGGCCAAGGCGGGCGGATCACGAGGTCAGGAGTTTGAGACCAGCCTGACCATCATGGTGTGACCCTGTTTCTACTAAAAAAAATACCGAAATTAGCCAGGCATGGTGGTGCATGCCTGTAATCTCAGCTACTGAAGAGGCTGAGGCAGGAGAATTGCTTGAACCTGGGAGGTGGAGGTTGTAGTGAGCCGAGATTGTACCACTGCACTCCAGCCTGGGCGACAGAGCAAGACTCCATCTCAAAAAAAAAAAAAAAAAAAAATTATAGGAATGGGGTCTTGCTATGTTGCCCAGGCTGATCTCAAACTCCTGGTCTCAAGTGATCCTCCCACCTAGGCCTCCCCAAGTACTGGAATTATAGGTGTGAGCCCCCATGCCCCACTCCCAATCCTCTTGAATCACTCACTCTAGTTCAGACTACCAGATAAGAGTTTTCTAGGAAGGAGATCGCTGGGAAATAACAACCTCTACACTATCTTCCTGCCTCAGTCTCTCCTTTCTAGCCCAACTACACACTGCCACAACAAGTTTCCTGAAAGCCTACGTTTTGCCTTCAATAACTTAGCTGTATCTATAGACTGAAGTACTAACTTTTTGGGCAAACATAGCCCTTCAGAGTCTGGTGCCAGCTGACCCATCCAGGATGGCCCCTGGCTCTGGGCCACCAACAAGGGTTCTTCCAGCTACACCAGGACCACATGTGTCACAGCATTTTTTCCTCCACCTACATGGTTGGGTCTGATACACTAGAGCCACAGCTCGTCTCAGAGGCTTTCTGTGTACTCCAGCCCAGGGTGAGGTCCCAGCATTCACTCCTGTAGCACTCAGTCACAGGAAACAGTGCTACCTGATATGGCTTGCTCTCATGTACCTGACTGAAGGTAAGATGATTTTCACAAAAAGATTTTTTTTCCTTTTTTGATTTTTTTTTTTGAGACAAGGTCTCACTTTGTTGTCCAGGCTGGAGGGCAGTGGTGTAATGTTGGCTCATGGTGGCCTCCAACTCCCCGGCTTGAGCAATTCGCCCACCTCAGCCTCCCAAGTAGCTTGGGACTACAGGCATGTATCACTTCGCCTGGCTAATTTTGTTTTATTTTTTGTAGGGACAAGGTTTCACTATGTTGCCCAGGCTGGTCTTGAACTCCTGGACTCACCTGATCCTCCCGCCTCAGCCTCTCACAGTGGTGGGATTACAGACGTGAGCCACCACACTCAGCTAAGAGTTTTTCTTGCAGAGAAAATTTTACATCTTTATTCTCTTTCCCATCTTTCCATGCCAGAGAGTCTCAACAGGGGACAATTTTGCCCTCCAGAAGACATTTATGACATCTGGAGACATTTTTGGTTGTTGTGACTGAGGGACTGCTATTGGTATCTAGCGGATAGAGACCATGGATACTGCTAAACATTCTGTAGTAACCAGGTGCGGTGGCTCACACCTGTAATCCCAGCACTCTGAAAAGCCAAGGTGGGAGGATCACTTGAGGTCAGGAGTTCAATACCAGCCTGGGCAACATAGTGAGACCCCATTTCTACAAAACAAAGAAGTTAGCCAGGCATGATGGTGCCTACCTATAGTCCCAGCTACTCAGAAGGCTGAAGCAGGAGAAAGGCTTCAGCTCAGCACTTTGAGGCTGCAGTGAGCTATGATCGCACCACTGCATGCCAGCTGAAGCAACAGAGTGAGACTCTGTCTCAAAACTAAAAACAAAATCCTACAGTGCACAGACAGTCTCCACAACAAAGGGCTATCCATCCCAAAGTCAACAGTGCTGAGGCTGAGAAACCTTTTATTAAAGTAACAAGTAGCAGACAGAACCGTTTCCCTTCTGTTGGTAATGCCAGCAAATAGTGAAATACCTGACATAAGTGCTGAAGACAGGACAAAGATTTACTCAGGACCTGAAGAACCATAAACTGACATTATCAAAGGAAGTCACTCGCTCCTGCTTTGGGTTCACTCAGAAATATACTAGATGGAAATCTGGCAGTCCCAGTTGCCGCAGAACAGCAGGATATGCAGCAAAGACTGCTCTCTACTGCTGACTCTCAATTATGGGGCAGCTGGCTGAAGGACACAGATGCACCCAAACCTCAAGCAGCTTGAATACCCTGCATGTGGCAAGCTGAGCCGGGAAAACCAACAAGACTGCTCGCACAGCAAACATGTCCTGAGCACCTTCCTGCCTGGCCCTGTGCTAGCACTGGGGACGTGAAAGAATGACAAAGTGGTCCTCCTTGAGGAGCTCCTAGTCTAGTGGGGACATATAGTAGTAAACAGTTACTGATCTTCACAATTGACTTGGCTGATCTCACTTCCATTTTCCTTTAAAAATCCTTCAGGGAAGGGAGAAAAACAATGAAGTGGAAAATAAAGCAGTGGAGCTCCACTGCTGATTAAAATCTATATTGCTATGGCAGCCCCTTTGAGACAGGATCAGCTCCTGGGTTTGCACCAGCTGGGCTTGTGGAGCTTGTAAATAATTAAAAGGTAATTGGAAGGGGAGACCAAAGTATTAAGTGGATTTCTCTCTCTCAGGGCAAACGGGGAGGTTCATTGCTGCCAGTCACATTATCTTTCAGGATTTCATATATATACATATATATATATATATATATATTTTTTTTTTTTTTTTCTTCTTTATTTTTGAATGGAGTCTCACTCTGTTGCCAGGATAGAGTGCAGTGGCAGAATCCTGGCTCACTGCAACCTCCATCTCCCGAGTTCAAGCAATTCTTCTGCCTCAGCCTCCCAAGTAGCTGGAACTACAGGCAGGCGCCACCACACCCAGCTAATTTTTGTATTTTTAGTAGAGACGGAGTTTCACCATGTTGGCCACGATGGTCTTGATCTCTTGACCTCCTGATCCACCCACCTTGGCCTCCCAAAGTGTTGGGATTACAGGCAGGAGCCACTGCGCCCAGCCTCAGGATTATATTCTTGTTTTTTACTGACACATGTAGTTCCAGGTAACAGCTGGAGGAGCAAACTAATGAGGGCTGCTCAGATTGCTTTGATGGGCTTAGAGATTGGGGAAAACCAAGATTCAAAACTTTCGATTGCCTTTTTAAGCAAACCAGCAGTAACAAACATGCTACCAAGAAGGCAATAAGGCTGCCAAAGGTAAAGGAGTGGGAGGAAGGAGGGAAAGAGACAGAAATGAGCTTAGAATATTTAGCTGCTGGGGGCTGCCATTACAGCTTGGCCCAGGATAAAGAGGAAGATTTCATTCTTAAGTCTCAATAAAGTTGTTGACACAGGCACCAAGGGATGCATGATCAGCTGTAACAGGATGCTGAGAACAGGCTACTGGGAGTAGTTCTCTCCTATGGTTTTGTCCTGAGGGTGATTAAGGTGGAGCCACACAGGTTGCTGAAGGCCTTCTCCTAGAGAGGCTGGGGTGCTGGCCATGCATTCTGAGGGCTGACTTGGCTGGTGAACCCATTGCTATGACTGAATACAAAGCCAGGAAGTTGAGTCACTCAGCTCTAAATTCAGTCACACCATAGTCTATAGTGGAGATGGCTCTTGGGTATGTGCAGGGAGTGAGGACAGAAGGAAAGAGAATTGGGAGGGTGCGTTATAAAGCAGATGGCGGCTGGGCACAGTGGCTCATGTCTATAATCCCAGTACTTTGGGAGGCCAAGACAGGTGGATCACTTAAGGTCAGGATTTTGAGACCAGCCTGGCCAACATGGTGAAACCCCATCTCTAGTGAAAAAAAAAAATACAAAAATTAGCCAGCCATGGTGGTGGGCACCTGTAGTCCCAGCCACTTGTGAGGCTGAGGCATGAGAATTGCCTGAACACGGGAGGCAGAGGTTGTAGTGAGTTGAGATCATGCCACGGCACTCCAGCCTGGGCAACAGAGTGAGACTCTATCTCAAAAAAAAAAAAAAGCAGACGCCTATGTACCTGACCGTTAAACTGCAGGAATGTTCTAACCAAGCCAGCAAATACAAACATCAAAAGTCAATGGGTAAGAAGAAAGTGTTGGCCTTTCCTTTCCAAGGATCATTTCAGACCTTTCCAAAATATCCTGAGGGGCCTCTATTCTTTCACTTACCTTTCTCAGTCTCCATGAGACTAGATACGCCAACAAGAAGCCTTACATGCTAGATTAAGTGAAGTCCAGGGTAGCTTTAAGGCTTAAAAAAGGCATATTTGAATTTGAAGTGATTCCAGAGACCAGTTAATTGGAAGAAGAGACACAAAATCAGGCAGGGCCAAATGTGGACGATCATTCCATCTACTTTGCGCCAACGCCTTCTCTGTCCTCTTCAATCTGGCTATCAGTTATTTGGCTAAATCCAGAACCAACTGGCAGTAAATGCCTCTTGTCCTCCTGGATGAAGATTAGTGGTCCAGGATGTTTAACAGTGATTAGCACACAGTAGGCACTCTATCAGTATTCCCTGAATTGGAACGATGAGTAGATGCACACTCACCCCTCTTCTGCATAAAGACGAAGAGGTCATCCAGGAACTCTTTCCTTTCAGGATCACCGTCCAGTTCATACAGCTGCAATCCCAATCCCCCAAGAAAAACACACAATGAAAAATTCCATCTGCTGAAGTCTTATACCAGTTACACTATGGCCATCTGAATCACTACAAATGCAACTCACTGGCTACTTTGGTCCTTATTTCTTGGGAAGCAGCTATAACAAGCCACTGCAGAACTGCCCCTGTCTATATCACAAAGGAAATATTACAGACCTTGGCAAAATCTCGAGAGATCTCTCTTCCCCGGCCTCCATCTGCATCATCACTCCAGGCCAAACCACCATTCTAAAAGGGAACAAAACACAAAGTTGAGAGGGGCAAAGGAAGAGAAAGAGTTAGGACGGAGGGCAAGGCAATCATTTAGGGCAAAGATGAAGACACTTAGCAATTGTGCTATCCTCACTCATACTATAAAAGACACCTCAGAAGACTAAATCTGCCACCCTTACAGGGACATCTTTTTTTTTTTTTTGCTTTCGATTTGGTTCCAAAATAAAGAGGGAATCGGGTGGAAGAATCTTCTTCATTTGTTGGAGAAGGGTGGGTGTCATTTATACTTGATAATCCTGGAAGAGGAAGACACAAAGGCCCACGTTGCTTAGAAGGGGCTCATTCCTAGCTGATCCTCAGAAGCCATCACTCTGAGATGCACCACTTTCCTGCAGACTGGGAAGATACCTCACCTGGTTTCCTACACAACACTCTAAGTGATAAGGGTCAAAGCAAGCAGCACATACATCCTGAAGTTGGTCTCTTAGCCAAGCCTCACCATTCAAAACCCTAAGCCGCATGGCAAGAATTCATGGTGATACGAGGGCCACCATGGCCTGAGATTGTTCCCAAGGTACAGACTCTGTGCCACTAGGGCGAGAGTTCATTTTTGTTAGAGAAACAATGAAAATCTAAGCCCATCTTGAGTGAATGGGTTGAAGCAACACCATTCAACTAAATAGGAAGGAATGGCAAATATTCTTTAACCTTGCTTCCCATCTTTATTCAGTCCAGTAACTCTTTTTTTTTCTAAGATGGAGTTTCGCTCTTGTTGCCCAACTGGAATGCAATGGTGCGATCTCAGTTCACTGCAACCTCCACTTCGCGGGTTCAAGCGATTCTCCTGCCTCAACCTCTTGGGTAGCTGGGATTACAGGTGCATGCCACCACGCCCGGCTCACTTTTTTTTTTTTTTTTTTGTATTTTTAGTAGAGATGGGGTTTCACCATACTGGCCAGGCTGATCTCCAACTCCTGACCTCAGGTGATCTGCCCACCTCGGCCTCCCAAAGTGCTGGGAATACAGGCATGAGCTACTGTGCCCAGCCAAGTCCAGTAACTCTTATTCCTCCAATCAGGTATCTCTTCAGCGGAAAGCCTTTCCTTCAACCATGGCTATACTAAGTACTCTAGAAGCAATCTCTGTTCACTTCTAGCTTAGATTTTTAACATATTACTTGGAAAGTATCTGTCATCCCCACCATATGGTAATCTCCTTGAGAGCAAAGGTGTCTTATTTATCTTTGTCCTCAGGCACATAGCACATTGCCTGGTACACCAATTAAGTACCTCTTCAAAAAATATACAGATACCTTACAGGGGGTTCAAAAAGTCTTTGTGCTAGTGAGGGTATGAACTCTCACAGGAGAACTCTGTTGTTCACCCCGACCCACCGGTCAGTGGAGGTCCCACACCAAATCTGTCATACTCATTTCTCCCATAGGACCACGGGCGCATGCGCACCATGCCACCCAGCTGCCCGGGGTATGTATGTGGTGAGGAAAGGACATGTGGAGCTGGGGAGCAGTGGTTTCTTGGGAGAACATTCTTTGGACTACTCAGGAATCTTCTTCTAAAACCATGTCAATGAAATAAAAGCTTGGTTGAATTCCATTCTCTTCCACCTTCCCCTTTAATAAAGCTTGTCTGAAAGGAGAAGGCATTATGCAGTTATATTTTGGGGCCATACTTTGCTTCACCTATTCAAAGTGGGCTCTGAGATGCAGACCCACTTTCTGATAGCAGCAGTCTGGCACACAGTGATGTAAGTATAATCAAGAAGTGACACTCTGTCAGTTAAAATGAAACAGACTACACCAAACTGTTTCTCTGCTTATCTAGTAAAAGACGTGTGTACGGAACTGCTCGGTAAATGCTGTCTGACCGTGCACTCATCATCTCCCAAGGCAGACATTGTTGGATCCCTTCCTACAGTACCTTCAGCTGAGGGGAGCCAATAACCAAGTGGGAGGAACATTGTTTAGAAAGAAAAAAAAGCTAAAGCTCATCCCACATTGTAATTACAGTCACCCTAAATCTGGTGTCATCTGGTGGCAACTAGCACAATGAATAATCAAGATGAATTATGCCTGTCAGGTCAGCAAAACCAGAGAGAGTTACATTCCCCCTTTCAAAGGATGCAGTAGGTTGCCCTAATGCCCAGTGATTTTGTTTGAGCCAGTAATTCCTGCTGGAAAGTCAATTATCCCGGGAGCCCCTATCGGCTGAAAGACATTTAATGGGGGATCATTGCCGCTTCTGTTATGTCAGCTGTTTACTGCGGCAGCTCAATTCCCAACTCTCTGGCCAGAGCTCTGAAGCTGATCTTGTTCACAGAAGGATTCTTTCTCTATCAGTCATCAAGAGAGATGAAAGCACCACTTTTTTTTTTTTTTTTTTGCTAATTATAGTAACTTCCAAGCACTCTGAATGCTCACTCAAAAACTATTTAACACTCAGTTGGGTGGAAAGGGTGGAATCCACAACCTAAAAAGTCAGACAGGGCTTTCCACAGCAGGAGAGCAGTGTGAAAACAAGCACGCTGCTGTGACCACTATGTGACTATGTGTGAAAATAAACACCCAAGTGTGAGCGCTCGGCTCCAGGCACGGAGAATGCCTTGGTAGGATGGGGGCTGGGGCCGGTAGGGTCCTCTTGATTTCTCCAGCTTTGTCCAACCTGCAAGAGAATCCGAGCAGTAGGATGGTGAGGCCTTGCACAGAGCCCACTAAGTGTGACCCACTTAGCTTGAAATGCCTTCAGCTTGGTGACCACAGAGATCAGGAAGACTTGCCAGAGCAGGAAAGAAATGAGACACCGAACTCTGAGTAATCCCACTGTTGGACCCATTCCACAGATAGGAACTGTCAGTTACTCTATTTAAAGAAAATGTGGGGAAAATAGTTGCCCAGAGAGGAGGTATTTTCTTTTGTCCAGCTCCAAGGCAAGGATGCTCCATTCAGCTGGGGCTGATGGAAAAATGTCCAGCGTGCATTCATTCTTTGTCTTAAGGCAGTTAAACTTTGATCCTGCTTCACAGGATTTTCTGGTTGAGGTGAGAGTAATTCCTGAGCCCTGCCTGCCTTTCACAGTCTAGCAGAGCCTCCTGCCTCTGCCCAGCAGGCAGATTCAATGCCTTTCTCCTCTGGGCTCTATCACCTTTGTTCAGTTACTTGTCTGTCTCCAGCCCTGAGCGCATAGAAAGCACTGACCGGCTGGGCATGGTGGCTCTTGCCTATAATTCCAGCACTTTAAGACCAACCTGGGCAATATAGGAAGACTCTTTCTCTCTCTCTCTCTCTCTTTTTTTTTTTTTTGAGACAGTCTCTCTATTGCGTAGGCTGGAGTGTAGTGGCATGATCTTGGGTCACGGCGACCTCCACCTCCCAGGTTCAGGCAATTCTCCTGCATCATCCTCCTGAGTAGCTGGGACTACAGGTACATGCCAGTATGCCTGGCTAATTTTTGTATTTTTGGTAGAGGTGGGGTTTTGCCATGTTGGCCAGGCTGGTAAGAGAGACCCCATCTCTACCAAAATAATAATAATAATAATAATAATAATAATAATAATAAAAAAATAAAGAGGGAGCACTGACACATCTGCTAAAAGACAGAGATGGGCTCCCCCGTGGGATCTCCAACCCCACAGCTCCTCTGTCTTCCCCTCCCCCTTTCACTGGGTGGGTTATAGGCTTAACCAGTTATTTTCTTGGTTCTTAACTCTGATCAACTGTTGTGAAACATGGTCACTTATGCAATTCAAGTTTGTGTGCAGTAGCTTTCTCGGCTTATCAATAGGGTATGGGTGTGACTACTAGAAAATTATCAGCCCAGAAATAATTTTTTCTCGGATGCTGACTGTGGCTGACTGAGACTGTAATGGTGGAAGAAAGCAGGGAACAGAGGCAAATGGAGTGTGGGGAAAACAAACTCAAAAAGAGACAGCTCAACATTTTAGGGATCAAAAGAGGTTGATGAGGAAAGCATTTCGGTTGAAGGCTTGCTGCACGCAAGTTTAACCTGCCCAGGGAACAGACTTTGTTACACCATCAGCAGCAGGCAGCAGTATTATATAGCCCAGAAATGTGTGTGGGAAGTCAACAGTAGCCAGAGTGGCCACTTACTGCCATTTACAGCCTTCTCAGCCTCTCCTACTTGAGAACTGTCTTTTAACATCTTTGATCTCTCCAGGAGCTCACAGGAAACTGATAGTTTGCTCCCAAATACACACCCAAGACTAGCTTTGGCTACTATACCTACATTCAGCTAATTTTCCCCAGGAAAAGAAGGTGGGGGGAAAGGGAAAAGGTAGCAGAAATCTAGTGTTTGTGTGCCTTCTGCATAACAAGGATTGTACCAGGAGCCTTACAAGCATTTTCTCACTTAATTCTATAATGTAGAAGTGGTTATTTTAGAAATGGGAAAACAATGGCTCAAAGAGCTCAAATAACCCGCTCAGAGCTTCTTAGTGACAGTGCCAGGATGTAAACCTAGGTCTGTTTGGCTCTCTCTGTTACACCATGCTGACTTGTAGTTGGAAAGAATAATACTAAGTGTTCTGGGTAGGGAGATCAGGAAGGGAGAAAGGAAGAAAAAGAAGTGAGAATAAAATCCTCTGTCCATAGATTCCTGAAATGCCCAGGTCACAGCACTGGGCAGCTCCTATCAATGGGAGATTCTTTTATTCCTTGCTTTATCTCATGGCTTCACCTGGGCACTTTAGCCAAATGAAAAGCAGCCCTCACACAATGCTTGCCCAGGAGAGTTATCTGGCAGTTCTGAAATAAGAATTGCTAACTTTTTACCTCCCTCCAAAATAGACCATTCAAGTAGAATGAGCCCCATCTTCCCCCAGAAGACAGAGGATCAGGGGAGAGGGAGAGAGAAAGAGAGAAGAGGGCTACACCTCTGAATGGACCAGAGGAAGATGGCAGCTTACACCGTGACACGTACACACACGCCTTCAAAAATAATGAATCAAGGTCCAACCTGACTGCTACTCAAAATTAGAATAAT